TTTTAGCGCAGAGGAGATTGCGATGGGCAGGGAGGATTCTCACTACAAAACCCGCTGATGGTCTTGTGGTGAGGTCTTGTAGGCTCAAGCTTATTAAAAGACGTGGTAGGCCACCTACGATGTGGCACACTAGTCTCAAAGCTGACGCCAACCTGCTCAGGCCTTGTAAGTCACTCGTTGAAGCACTTGTGGTGGCTAAGGAGTTGTTTAAAGCTCCTATCCCTACTGTGCCGAGAGCGCCAAAGATATTTACTTGTTCACGTTGTGAGCGCTGTGGCAAGAAATATTTTCGGGCTAGCAATCTTGCTAAACACATGGAGAAGTGCGACGCGCAGCCTCCATCCTCTGTGAGAGGTGGCTAGTAGGGGCTTGTTCCATCAGACGTTCTGCCTTTTGGGCCCAGCCTCTGGGGGTTTTTAGTGGGTATGGTCGTGCGAGTCCCACAGTATCCTTCTGAGGGCCACACCTCCTAAGGTTCTCCGTAACAGGATTTTCCCCCCACAGGCTGGTAAATGCGTCAAAAAAAAAAAAAAACACTCCTCTTGAGCTGAGCTGAGTAGAGCAAACATATATTCCTACTCCAATACTTACTATCAACAACCATGAAATTGGAAGATAATTTTTGGCTATTATCATGAAGTTCATGACATGAACCTAAGGAGATGCAGTACTGTTTAGTGTTGACTCATGACTACTAGAGCCAAGGACCTCTTCGACATTTCCTTAGAAATCTGCACTTTTCCTTAGACGCGTCCTTTCTTAGCACTCTTCATTAGGAATCTGCTTGTGCTGTCCCATCGTGGCAGCGCGACAAAGATCTCGCTCGCCTCATATTCTATTGTTGAACTATAATATTATTATTCTCGCTCGGATGCATCTATCTAACGGTTTTGGATACGAGAAACGGTTTGATCCGTCTCTGGTTTTCTTTTTGCTAGTTAAGTGAAACTAGTTGGTAATTGTTAGACTGGACTGAGTCCAGTGACTGATTGTGTGATCTGCTACCTCATCATAACTCTAGTTCAACTCTAGTTCTGTCCTCACTAGTATCGCATCGTAATCTCTGTTGCCTCACTTGATCGTGTTACAAGCTACACGGGATGTTGCTTAGATCTGGAATGAAATTGTCTAACCGTGATCGCTGTGCATTTTCTCATGATTCAACAGGTTTAACTCCCTCTACACCTCCGTCTAACGACGCGACTGAACCACCAAGAAACACATCTACTTCGAGACCACTACTGATTTCTTCTAGTTCTGCTCTAAGTCGTCCCGTACATGCTACAAAACGGGCGAGCGAGAATCTTTCCGTAGTTTTTTGAACATTTCTTTGGACAAATGCATTTTGCCACTACATCCCCCCTCCCGGAGAGACGGCAAGCATATAGTGAAGACAAAATATTTAAGAAACAGAGGCAGAACGACCCGCTGTCTTTTACATCTTTTTACAGGATGAGAATAAGGAACGTGCAAAGAATTACAATGGTCTCTATTTAGAGTTAACTTACCACTAACAATAAAAGATTCAATCTGTCTAAAACCCTCCGACTTCGCTACATCATCAACACGAAGCCGTTTCCAATAAATACAAGGAACATCTTTAAATAACAATTGATCCATCCACTCACAGAGTTGAATGCAAATATCAACAGCAAAGTAATGATCACCAGTGTTAGTCTCATGAGTGGTAATACGATATCATTCATTCTGTTATACAATATGAGCGATGGGATCATCAGAAACAGCGAACGTAAGTCTATCTGGTATAAGTATAATGGTATCGCATCAAACTCTATAGAACCTTTACATTTTGCATTTGCACCAGTATATCATCCCCATCATCATCATTAATATCATTGTCATTAATATCATTGTCATTAATGGTAGAAACGAAAAGAACAGTATAACTCTGAGAGTTAACTCTCATCCATTGTGGCCATCACGTCCTCGTCACGAACCAGCTCATCATCAGGAAGTAGAAATGGCTCATAATCAATCTCATAAGTAGCTTGCAAAGTTCACTATTCAGTGAACTTCGACGAGGCTGGCCTGAGGCGACATGAAGAATGGACCATTCTCATTTTCATGAATCCAGGCGACTCGCCGAGATACATCAGGCCGTCTTCGAAGTTGTGCTTTACACTAACCCAAAAGCCATCATCGGCGTCACACCATTCAACAACAGAAAGGTTCTCCGATGATTTCATTATCTCAGAACCCAAGAGCTTGACACTCTGCAAATAGTCATACCAGCCTAAGACCTGTGCATACGTAATCTTCCTCTCAATCAGCAGCTCTTCACATTTAGTCTGTAACTCACTATCTGCAATAATATTGCAGCAATATGTCGTAAAAGTCGCACGTTCTCTACAGCAATACCAAAGGCTTGGGCAATCTGCAAACCAACAGGGCTTGAGAGAGTTGTAGTCGGGTTCTCCAACATGTTAAGCATTTGAGAACTCAGGGCAATGGTTAATGAAATCTAGAGATTCTACCTGCAATCGCACTCATGAAGTCATCAACCAGCTTCGAGCTAAGGAGTTAACAATTATGTTGATCGATAATAGCGATTCTGGTAAGGTACCTCTTTCCCCATAATATGGGAATATATTATATCGGTTCATACTGATCTCTCCTGTTCGTCAATCGCGGGCTGGCCTTCTATCGTGAACTCTCTACGACTCCCTCAACACTCAAAGTCGAGATATTGGTCATCGGAACTGCTACCGCCAAAGTCGGGCATTAACTTGAGGAAAAAAACTGTCCCCATGAAACGGTTGAGCATGGGAGGGGCCAGTTGTGAGAGATCCCACTATGTCAGCGACCACGAAATCTTCGGTTCACGGTTTACATAGGAAGACTAGAGGAGGCATACTTCCCGCTATCGTCTTTGAGGAGGAACACTTAGTAAGTGTCACTTACAGTTGCATGGAGTGTAGCGAAGTCATTCTCGCAATGCGCACGCGGCGTGCCGCCATGAAGTCCCAGTGGTCAAGATCCCATCAACCGTTATGAATGGGCCTGTTTCATAAGGAGAAATTGCGCCTTGAGCTCGAGTAACTCCTCAAGTATACCTTAACTTAAGGTCCTTAAGTAACTCCGTAACTTGCTCCTAAACTTGAGGCGCCTCAAATTAAATATACTTGTGAAACAGGCGGCCTGTTACAGGCCCAATGTACGCTCGTGAGTCATGGAAGTTTTCTTGGGGAATTGGTGAGGTGGCCTCCATCATAACCCCGCAACAAGGTTTTCCCCGTCAAATACATCAGTGAATCATATAAGCCACTCGCGGAGAAAGTAGGCTGATACATGGATCAATAACGATTCAGTAAGGAGAATTGATCGATTCACGTGTGCAAGCCAGCTTGGACGCAACCTTGTGCGTCACTTTAGGGAACCAGTCACAGCACCTGACGATGTGGTCACCCTTCCCAGATTGCTCAGCGAGAAGAAATGCAAAGGAGATAGAAATAGTCGGTGATAATACCAGATAAATCGTATAATCTATGACTGTAATGACTCATTACAAATGAAAGCATGATACATAGAGGGAGCAAGTGAAGGCAATGATGTACACGTGAGTCACAATTCGTCACATGATGCGGCGAGGCTAGAAAGTAGGAAATCTAAGGTCCGAACACTTAGGGTCGTAGATCAGGAGAGAATCCATAAAGAATAAGTATCGAGAACTCACGCTGATCGCTCATCAGTGGAGCGATTGGTCACTTAGTCGTATTTTTGCCCATGTGGGAGGGAAAGCAGAACGCCATTGCATTGAGTGGGTCTTGTCACAAGACTCTTGTGCATCCACCTTGTGACCCACACAACACAAGAAGTTGATCAATTATGAGATCACGGGAGAACTCGCGACAGTGTAAAATTAGCCTTTCCCAAAAACTTTCGGGAAGGCCTGTGTTATATGAGCCAACCCAAAACTCTTGGAAGATCCTCCCCGGTCGGTACACAAACGGGATCAGGTCACAAGGGTCCAATAGGTACGATCGCCGTGGTAACTTCAACTCGCACAGATGCTCTCCGTTGGTGAGTTAAGAAGAGCTTCGAGTGAGAAGGACTTTACTGAACAGAAGAGGTGCTGCACGACCCCTCTGTCGAATTCCCATCTCTATAGGAAATGGCTCAGACATGCCGCCTCGTGTTCGAGCTTGTGCTCTAGTCACTAGAGCCTAGTCTAGTGTTACGGTGAGGTGATTCGATAGCCGCAATCAGCTTCTCATCACAACCGGCCGGTCCGAGAGTCCTTCAAATAGCACGACGTGGTAAATTCGTCGAAAGCTGCTTTCGAATCAAGTAAGACATCAGATAGCTCACGAATGGCTATAGACGATTACAGGCCTCTTATCTGTGCACCTTCTCGTGCGCACCTTTGTACCGACACTCAGCACCACCGTTGCGCTGACATCGTCACGTTTCACGCATGCCCAAACTCCGGGCATGCGGAATCCATTATCAGTTTCCCTCTTGAATCCGTTTGAGAGAGTCCCTATTCAGTCACACTGATTATGCCACACCAACCTCACGCTCCTTGATGATCGAGATAAGTGACTCTATTGGCAATAGACTATTGCCAACCCACAATCATCAACAGTCCATGACCCGATCAGGGTCCGAGGATCTTGGATTCGGTGTCCTCAGTTGGTATTCGTCCCCTCCCCCTGATCATAATGCTTCGTGATTTCGCAATCATGTACATGCTAGTCGCTGCACTGCGAGACTTCTCGACTACCGAGGCTGTGCCTGTGACGGTTGTTGTAACCTCTCTTGATGCACTCATGCCGCGGGATTACCTTGACTTGTTCACATCGGGTGTTAACCATGTTGTACTCGCCGAGAACTGGCTCTCAGCGGATGGATCCATTATATTCCCTGGCGCATGGATGACGGTGCCGCTCGCCAAGGAGATACACAACTATGCTGTTCAACACAATGCCACCGTATCCATAGGCATCGTGCCGCAGCCCTTCATAAACAATAACAGTAGGAGTCTACAAGATTTTGTTTCGAACGTTCAAACTACTATCAACAACTACTATGTGGACGGGCTTCTCTTTGAATTCTGGCTCAAGTCGTTCACACCAAGCGGAGATGAGTGGGAAGTGGTCAACAATTTGACTTCCCTCACTCGTAGCAAGTTGAACTCAAGTAGAGGGAACGCGGCTACGGCTTCAGTCATGTAGGGCACGAGGAATGAAGACCCTGTCTGTGACTGGCAATCACCCTCGTTTCAGGTTCAGTGGCGAATCTCTATCATCAAGCCTTTGGGAAGACTTGAAAGTCTATCAGCCATGGAATTATACTGATAAATACTACAGCGTCCTGGATAGCAACTCAGTGGATTTCAAAACTCAAATTAGCATCGAATGGGCAAGCAACATCACCAATCGGTTCGCCAACTACTCTGCAAACATCTCTCACTTGTCGCTCACTGTAAGTCTGTTATACCTCAGTGATGTATAGTGTCGTGACTGGATAAGGCGTGTTCTCAGATAATCCCGGAAGGCCGCTTGGATAATCTCACCGATGCCAAGCCTTATCGAGAGTTGTTCGATGACGGTGCTCCAGCATCAGGGGATGGATACTTCGACAACTTCTACTACAACTCACAGAAGCAAATCAAGGAGAAGGCCCAGCTTGTGAAGACGAAACGCCTTGGTGGCCTCAGCATACTTTTCCCCAACTTTGATCTTCCTGCTACCAATGCGTCCTCTCTGCTACATGCAGCCGTTCTTGGATAGCTCAGTTACTGAGCCTCAGTATCTTCCAGAGCCGGAAAGCGCTCTCATTTGGACTCTGTGGATGGCACATATTTTCACTTGGAGGAGATGAGTGCGTAACCGTCAGTAAGTGAGGTATATTCAACGCAAACCGGCTGTCATCCCACAAACCTACATCATCTGTTGTGGTTCTTATCGTCTCGATTTTTTTGCTTTGGTCATCGTACGATGAAAGTCCGGATTCTTCTATCTATTTCGTCGAATGAGTTCAGTTATGAATGAAAATCACAGGCTACCCGGCTCCCTTCCTACCCAGCGTTGGGTGGTGGGCCGGAGGATGAGTCATCCTGGATGACACTGAACACGTGTGATCCTCGGCCAATCTGATGGGGCCAGCCTCACACGTAACGCGAGGTGCCACACCACATCGCCAGGATGGGCGGGAAAAAATTGACGACAAATAGCTGAGGCGAAGGTGGGATATAACCCAAAATCCTGGAAGAACTTTGAATCACTGCTAAATAGCGCTAGGTGATGTGTCGACACAACGTGTCTGTCCCTTCACACACGCCGGATACCGTCGCCGAGTAAACTGGCCCAACGAGTTGACCTCGAATAGTGGGCGATTTGTATGACCAACAGACCGCGAGGCACATCTTCACACTAGAGCAAATTTGAGGGCCAAAAAGTGGGGGATACACCTCGAATCATCTTCGGGAAAGAATATTCCTTGTTGAAGGACGAATTTTTGAGAACTCGACGGAACTCATGAAGCCCTCAAAGAACAGATGTGCTGTTCGGAACAGCCTGTTCCGAATATTGACACCGAGCCTGTGAATCACACTCGGTGAACACTTTCAATCCTCAGTGAGGATTCCTCACAGTATCAGGTGTTGGAAGTCGCGTCACAGGCAATATTGCGAAAAAGCTCCGCGGCCCACAGGTGAGTCACTTGAATTAACTCTTTTCGTAAAAGTTCTGCGAGACGCAGGATCTTGCTATTGGAAGGTTCTGGCCGGGCATGTACTGTAAGGTGACCGAATTTGATCAGACATACATATCCGAGATGTCACATCGGAGATGAATCACAGGCGTCATGGGCCGTCGAGTCTTAGTTGTTGTCAACAACCAAGGCTCGACAACTACTTGCTCTCCCACGTGATGCCTTAAGGATGCTCGAACTCGGAATGTTCATGGATTCACCTGCTGTGGGAACCTTCACAGTGAAGGTTCCCACAGTATGAGTGAAGGCTTCACTCATATTGTTAGCCTCTTGAGCGATAGCCATGACACAGTTGTTAACTCTATGATATTAGAGGAAAAATCATAACATGATGTTTCCGAGCAGCAAACATTACGGCTCGCGTGTATCGAAGGTATAACACCTATTTCAGAAAATTGGTTTATTGGAATTTGCTCCCAATTTCGGGACGTTCTCCGCGAGGAATAGTGTGGTAAGATTGCTTGGAGCTCCTTGGCAAGGAGTCCTTGTGCCCACCAGCTGAGAATCTTGGCCAGAATCCATAGAATAGGATAGTCGAGAATCCTTGCGCGTCACTCATCCATGGCTCGATTTTTCACTAATTCGCATTCCTGCCCGAGAGGAAGAAAAGCGGAACGTCTTTGGATCGAGTGAATCTCATGCATCTACCTCATGGT